TAACTATTAAGCTCAACTCCTCTAACCGATTTAAAATAAACACCAGTTGGCCACTAAACATTATAGTATGTATCTACCTACTTATAAACTAATTTACTTATAACTACAGATTCATTAGTCATTATAATCGATTTAGTTAATATCACACATTTCATCGATCAGAAATGCACAATCTGTTAATCATACTTTCGACTAAAAAGAAAAATGGTATTGTGCAGACATATTCTACTAAGCTAAAACAATATGTTTACATAATATTATTATTACACTCATTAAATAAAGAATAAAAAAGAAACGTTGTGTTCTTTACCACTGTTTGGTCTTATTATACCATTGGTTAAGTCAATTCGATTGTTTTAAAAATAAATAAGTGCTTATTTTTCAAGAATAGCTAGTATTAAAGATTTTGGAAATATATTTTTATAAAATTAGAAGTCATTAGAAAAAAAAACATTTTTTAACACAAAATAATAGTTTTTCTGTTTTAATCTTCACCATTTTCTTAGTATTTCACTTTTTTGAGTATTTGCTTATATTTCGATAAAATATTCCGAAACGGAATAGATTTCTGAAAACTTCAAAATATAAAAATCGAATTATTAACTCGTATTATTATAGGCACTTTGAACATTTTAAATATTTGATGAGCAGAGCGGAGTTAGACAGAGTAGACCAGCAAATATATTTGTCCACTACTCCAATAGACTTCAAATCGTAACAACTAACAAACAGGGTAAACAGAGGCCTACAGTAATATTTTTTGATATTAAATTTAAAAAAAAAAAATAGGTAGGGTTTTGTGTTGTTCATAGTGCTATAAAATCTGAGTCCTGGTAATAATATCGATTCATCCATATTTTAATTTTTGAAATTGTCAAGACTTAATACGTCTTAATAGTTAATATCCTCTCTTAATTTAAAATTACATTAGATGTTGTTATATTATCATACATGAATGAAGGACTACGGAGTGTCCCGTGGGTGTAGTGTATATCGACACTTTTTTTGGTTTTACAAACGAGATTTGCACTATTTATTGTAAATTGTTAATTGTAGGTGCCTAGATATCAACCAGCCACTCGTAACAAACTGCAATTGAATTGAATAAATTTCTATCACGTGCCTACACGTTTCGATTCTATCATGCACGATCTGACACACACGTTTTTTTTTTAAATTTTTATGAATTTAAATCAAAATTCAAATGAGTAGTTTTTGAGTTATTCAACTTTGTGTGCAAAGGATCACTTGGATAAACTATTATTATTGTTTTGGAACTTATGGCCTATGAGGATTGAGGGCTATCATTGGGCACACTATACATAATATTTATTATATATCATATCAGTGGTCCAACCCTCCCCCAATAGACTAGATAGAGCTTAGACGACCATTATTGTTTCGTTTAACTTTACAAAATAACCAATTATATATTAAACTATATGAATAATATCCAATATAAATTATTGATTTCAATTTTACCGATTGTAAAATGGAATATTTATATTTTTAGCAACAAAATTCTCGTTATTTCGTCGTCACTATACATCCCTCCCGTGAAGTAACCGTCTAAATTGCTACACCCTCACCAGTTGCTATCCACTGGTATACAGTATACCGGTTATCCTGCAGTAGTCTGTACAATTCTTTCAATTCCAGTATAGGTCAACTAAACGCATAGCTGCAATAATCAATTTTTGTTTAACACAGTCTTCAATGGTAACATGTCAACGCGTCATTCCATTTCATTAGCCACGTGTCATCGTATATTATTATATATTATTATGATAAGTATAAATGTTTTTGAAAACAATTTTTTCACATGGTTTCTAGTTCTTTAAAAACAATATATTTTTTTTAAAAAATTTTATCCTCCATGTTTTTAAAGTTTTTAATTTTTCGAATGACAACATATTTTTCTAAGTATTTCGATACGAAAAAAGTTGAATTTAGAACAAGTATCGTTTATCAGTTACAAGTATTTGAAGTTTAGATGACCTAAATGGAGTGGTACGTGGTTACTCCACAAAATGTTGGTCTACTACATTGCTTATGAAAACTTCTGAATTTTAACTCATAAACCATAAATTCAATTTTTATGTATCGAAATTCTCAGAAAAATATTATGCTTACGAAAACAAAAGTGAAACCGTGTATTGTGATTCAAAAATTAAAAAAATTAAAATGACAAGTTTAAAAAAACATTAAACATTTAGAATTTTATAGTAAAAACATTGTTTTATAACGACTTGGAACCGCAAAAGTAAAATATTTTAAAAAAAAATTAATTATTTTTGGAATAATGTGTGTTTTAAGTTAAATTAATTACTCGATATGTGCCTTTCAATATAAACTCCGAATTGTGTTAAAATATCAAACTAAACTCGTTAAACTAAACCAAAACAAATAATACTAAAATAACATATTAAACAAAAAACAAAAACAATATTGTCCAATCATCTCTAAAATGGTAGCAAGTTTGTACCGCACTGCTCTACGCAGTTTTATAGGTGCTTAGATTGGTAACTGTAAGTTTGTAAAGGATGTGTTGAATTTGAATTCAGGGGCGTATTTACGGGGCTGGATATGAGGTCAAATCCACCACCATAGTTCTTTAAATTCATGTGTAGTATACATGCATTATAATTATTATATCATAATCTATAAGCTAAAATTCTTGTCATCCGCCCCCTACAAAAAATATTACATACGCCACGGTTTGAATTTAATGATAAGTGCCTATCATTAAGTCATTGCATGCCAAAAACAATTCTGAGCGAAGACGGTTTGACTGCCATATTATACACAGTAATAGTTTAATAATATTCAAACGCTTTACTCGTAAAAATATCGCGGCGAACCTCATTTATTAATTCACGAATTAATAAAATCGATTTTATTAAAACTGGTTTGTCATAAATATTACCTACTGTTAAATTTATACTTTGTTAAGTACACACATAGACATTTTTACGTTTGACCTCCCTGAAGTACCAACTAGGTCCAATTTTCTACCAGTAACCACACTCGAAGTTGTAGATCGATGTATTATTGTAATATTACACTTAATTAATAATTAAATAAATAATTTTAAAATTGTCAATTTCGATTTGTGATTTTCTGAGTACCTAACTATAGTGGCGATAAAACTTTATGCACTAAGGAAAAGTTGTCCTTCTTGCCAACATAAAATAGAATTATAATTGATATTAATTGAAAAATAGAAAAAAGATAAAATCTCATTATGTACCTACATAATACTTACTTCAAATATAAATCAAATCAAAGCTCTAAAACTCATTTTATGCTAATCATTTTTAATGAATTTTATAATAGTTAATTATTAATTATTATCAATATATTAGAATCAAAATACATAATAATAAAAATAAACCACATAACTGCAGGGTTTTTTTTAGTGTGCAGTGAGACACATTTTGTGCAGTGAGAGACGTAATTGTGCAATGAAAATTTTTACTCTGTGCAATGCAAATAAAGAATTTCAGGATGATATATTTTATTGTATATTATAAAAAAAAAATTGAGTAAACTTTATATTATATTAAATTACAACAGTTAAATATAATTCCTCATTATTTATTCAAGTACCTATTGAAAATAACCAAATCTGAAATTTTTTTTTCATTTCTATAGTTATACGATTTCCTTCTGTACAGAATATATCCCTTTTTATATTTACTGACATTAAGTTATAGTTTTTTGGATCTAGATAATCTATGAATTTTTGACCAAACGCTTTTTTAGAAGACTAGATCTATTCTGACATCAAATGCCTTAGTTTCTCTTTTAATTATATATATTATATATACCTATATAATTTATTATAATTTTTTGCAAATTAATTCACGCTTTGCAAAAACTTTTATTGCAACAACTCCTGCAAAATTGTATTGTGTATAGGCTACGTATACCGGTATACCGTGTGTCCTCGAAAACAGGGTAAACTGTATAATTAAAGTATCAATTTTACTCAGTATCCTATACATATTTTTGAATTCTGTTTGCGGGACATAGGTATGATACTAGACTATTGGATCATCAATCTTCCGCAGACTGAATTATAAAATGTGTAGGTATAACTGAGGGCCGGGTACTGAGTAATGAAGGTATAAGTGGTATAATAGTCGTATAACTGAGTTATAGAGTGTAACCAGTTTTCGCGGACACACTGTACATCTATATATAGATATATATATTGTACAATGTATATGCAATAATATAAGTGTTGCATGGTTGTCGTTTTTTTTTTTTTTTAAATAAGGTATACTGGTATATCAATATGTATAGCTCAATAGTCGGTAGAGTGGTATACTTTTAACAGGATTTTATTAAGTATAATCTAATCTATATAAGTAGGTATACCAGCTCCCTGCTACTTTTTTTCTGGAACAATTTCGATGTAAGAATTGATGTGACTATAATAGGTACTGTCAAATGATCAATTTTGGTTCGCTAGGTTATTAACTATGGTCGTCTAAAGTTTAGTATAATAGCTATGCATTAATACTTTGAACTAAAATACTAATTTACAAGAGCTAAATAATTTTTTCTTATAATTACCTTTTTATATACTTAAATAGTTAAATCAGTAATCTAAAATGCTTAAAAAAATAAAATGCAAACAAAATTATTGGCAAAAATAGTTCATTATTTATATTATTTTTTCGTGATATAAAATTGAGAACAATTTTATTTTATAATTATTAATAATAATTTACCTACCTACCTACCTACTTAAATATTTTTTTTTTGAAAACTGTATTGGATGCGTAAAAAAATATATTTTGGGGATAAAGATGGGACCCAAAAATCAATGGGCCCCGAGACCGTGCTCCCCTCCCCCCCCCCTTAATCCAGGCTTGTCACTGTAAAAATGCATATTCTCGTTTTCACGTGTGGCTACACTACAGAGAGCATATTTTTGAATTTTTATTTTTTTTTATGATGAACAGTATAAATTAATAAATCAATGTGCATACTTTGGTTGTTCGTAATCCCAACGGTTGTCCACACGTCTGGTGCTCATTATTTCACTCAAGTGTCTCCACAAAATACCATTGTTCAATAATATCTGGGTACATCTCTCTCGTTCCTTTTGGTATTTCTTTGTCTTCAGCACTATGTGCTGCCACTCCTGCGGTGGCGTCGTATCCACCCTCGCGGTGGCCGACTTGAGCTGAAATATTCACGAAATGCATGAAATAAAATAATTAATTTAAAGTTTTATAAAAATATAATGGGCCAATGCCAACTAAATCGTGTTTAAAGGACCATTTACTTCGCTAGGTAGGTATTGATTCATTTAAATATAAAATGTATAGTGTTTGTTTAGGCAACCCAGGCCCTGGCACAACTGCATAGGTAACCTAGTATAGGCCTACTAAACTACTAAAGTATATGATATATCTATAAATATTCCTACAATATAATATTATAATATCTTATACAATAAAAAATTATAATGAATACCTGTTGTATATTTGTATGGTCATAGGCGTATAATGTACCTAGCATGATGGATTTGTATTTTCGGGGGGGGGGGGCTAAGCAAAAGTCTGGGGGTATAGCCTCCTTAGATAGAGTGCCCCCCCTAATGACGCACCTAATTGTTAGTAGATAACTTATCATGTTTTGAGAAATTATTATACTAAAGTTGAGTGAGGTAGGTACCTACTTAAATGAATAGCTCCTATCTTCATAGTTGATTCTTTGTCTTTTATTGAAAAATAAGTTTTTTTGCTTTGGATCGTTGGCAACTTTTATTTTTGACTCTACGATTTTAGTATTCATTCTATTCGTTTGTAGAACCTATAGGTACTTGTTTTAAGAAAAACTTTAAAAATTCAATTCGGTAGACAGCGAAATAATTCACATATTTAATACCTACCACAAATGAGAAAATATCGATACCCATACTATAATATAATTTATATGTACATGAACACTGGCGTTAATCTTTGTTAAACGTACGCAATTAGATACCTACCTACCATTATAGGTAAAATAGTGGTGGAGATCATAACTCTCGAGAAAGTTGAGAAGAGGGTCAGGCAGGCTACCTACTTAGGGGCGAGCTTATTCCAGAGCGGTGTGTCTAGGCCGTTTCTTATCAGTTATCTGTACCCAGTGGCGACACACTGTCACCTATTGTGGGTCCACAATTCGTTTAATATGCCCTCCTCCCAGGTTTGGTTTTTTTATAGTGGCAATTTCTCACCCTAAAAATTTATTGTCATCAGTAATTATTTATTATTAGAAAAGTTAATTTTTTTTAAACATTTTTTTTATTGGTCTTAAAATTGTACAATTTCTGCTTCTACTACTATGGTTATTAGCATAGGTAACATTATAAATATAAATACATTACATTTATTATGGAAAAAGGGGATAAGAAAAAAAAAGATACAAAAAACTGTTTTAAATTAGTTATTTTAATAAATATATCTACAGTTAATAAAATTATCAATTCAATAAGTCCTTATCTCAAAGTATTTATTGTTTTTATAAATAAATACTACCTATTTCTGGTAAATTCAAGTTTTTAAAAAGTACTCACATCATCAAACAAATTATTGTAGTCTGTAAGCTATTAAATATTAAAAACGATCTTCTGTACAATTTACCGTTTTTGATATTGGCACGGGCGTATTGACGAAATACATAAAAATGACGAAAATTTGCAAATTATTTTGAATTAAGAATTCGTAAAAATTTTTCTTCTTGAATCTAAGATTTGAAAATGTAATACAAGATTCCTCATAAGTTTGTCTACCTTTATCAAAAAAAAAATGTCTACAAGAAAGTTGTATGGCCACGGGTAGGACCACCCTGATGTAAATAGCTAGCTATTGTATAGGTTAGTTTCCAAAAATAGTTTAATATAAGTAATCCCTAAGTATATTAGGCATTTGTGACTTAAAGTCTATGCTATATTAATATTATATTATATTTTTACTAGGTACATGTCTTAATTTATTTACAATACAGTGGTATGTTGATTTAATGATATCATCTTCGTAATATTAAAATATGCGTTTTTATTTATTTAATTATTTATATATATATATATATAAATATATCACGGACCAAGGTCCAATTTTAAATGGGATGCAGTAATTCTTTAAAGTTTAAACTAAAAATTCAGATGTTGAATAACATAAAAGTAACTTAATTTTATAACATTTAGAAGAATACAATATGGATAGTCATAATGACAAGATAATATAAATAATAGATTTTCATATAAAAAAATCAACATTTTGATTGACAGTTGACACAGTTACTATAATACTATTCAATATTCATTAATAGAATATTAATCGGGGAATTAAGTAGGTATGTAATTGAGAGAAGTATGCTTTATATAAAATAAATAGGTACCTCTAGTATTACTAACATTAACTTTAAAATTTATAAGACTTAATAAATAAAAATCACCCATTTTATAATTCATAATTTTTTTTTTTTTAAATAATATAAGACTCTTTTCTACATTTTTTTAAAGAATTTAGCTTAATAAATTTCTTTAAGTTTTCATAATCAGAATATGAGGATCTCTCCCAATATTAAATTTAAAAGCAATAAATCGAAAAATTTGTTTTGAACCACTTCAATATGATCGGAAACACCAATAGTATTGAAGTCCCAGATAAATGAGACCTTACAATAATGGAGGTGAAAAGACATTTATATAGGTACCTACACAATAGGTGAGAGGATCTTTAAGAGAAGGCCAATTAGGCATGATGAGACCCAACGTTAATAAAGCTTTATTTTTTAAAGTAATTAGTAATTAATAATATGTTGGGTCATGGGTGAAAGTTAATTTTGAATCAAAAAAAAAAATTCCAAGGTGCCTATTAGATTCGTCCGCGTAAAAGTAATACCATTTAAAATATAATTAAAAACCAAAGTTGCGCCCTTTTTAGAAAAAGTGTAGTTTTTGTAGTTCGGAATCGAAAAGTGTATATTATAAATTATAACATATAATATGATATTCGGTATACCTATAATTTACAAGTATGTACTCACTTTGACTTTGTGTTGATGATATAATCTTTGCTGAAATGGCTTCACAAATAATTCTTCTTTACGCGTCAACATTTTTCTATAACAAAAAACAAATATTAAATGTTTTTGTTTGTTTGTTGATATATATTATACTGATAGAGCTATAATAAAAAAACGTTCATAATTCTAAAGAATTTGAACAATAGTGACTATCAAAGTTTATACTATATTCATGGCATTATTATTGCCGTTATAATAATAAATTCTAGGTTATGTACAAATCAAATTCTATGAATTTCATTTAGTATGAGTGAAATAGTGAATGATTATTAATATTATTGTTTAATAATACTAATAATTTTACAGATCCACGCAATAATGTATTATAAATTGGAAAATACCTACGCAGTAGGTACCACATAATAATATACAACAATTGTGTGTACTTTTTAATTTATTAGAAAAAAATAACCCACTGAAATGCAATCAATCGAAGTAAAAAAATGTCTACATCTACTGACGTCACTACAATATTAGTTATTATATCATAATATTATCATCATGTGCTAACTGTATAATTTAAAGAACGTGTAGACATTATAGTGTGGATATGTGAGTAAATTTAATATAATACACTACATCGAATTCCGGACGAGAATATGACAATACAATTATACGCAGACGTAATGGCAATAGTGACGACGATGAACAGTATTGAGTAGGTACCTATAGACTGTAGAGGTAGAACCCACCTGGCTGACTACAGTACCTTCAGAAGTTCACATTTGCAGCCTGTAGGTGATGCAAAAAGATTCACTTCCTGTTAAATAAAATACCCGAGGTGCGTGTTGGTAGGTAACAACTATTTCGAAAACGTGTCGCAGTTTAGTCGATGTCACTATGGTAACTCGGTATATACTATAATACGTCTCAATAGTCAAGATATATACGTACAATGTTAAAGTGTTTATTGTATATTATATGTTACGGGTAAAGTACAAAATACGGCTAGTGTTCACATTATTCGGTAATTGGATATATTTGATATCTAATAGATTGGATATACAATACACACATATATATATAAGTACTAGGTAAATATAAAGCATAGATAGCATGTTAAAATTGTAATAATATCTAGAAAGAAGGAATTTTATTTTGTCGTTATGTTTCTAGGTAAGTAAATGGTACCTGGGTCTTGAAAATGGGTGATCTGTAATATAGGTTCCTAGATATAGAAATCTAATAAAATATGAAAATCATGGACCATGGTGTATTATAATTGGTGTGTATATAGTAGGGTTCTAAGTCACTTTGCACGGTCGAGCATTAAAAGCGCGAAACAGCGGACACTAAACATAAAGTATATGTATATTATAATATATATTAATCTATATATATAAAAATGAATGTATGTGTGTGTGTGTGTGTGTGTGTGTCCATATTACCATGGCAACCATATATAGGTATATTATTTTGAAATTTCCGTCGGCTCCGAAACTACTGGACAGATTTTCAAAATTGTTTTACCATTAGAAGCCGACATTATTATTGTTGAATATAGGCTAATTTAAAAAGTGAATTGAACACCCAGGGGAGGGGCTCAAACTGGAATTTTGAGTTTTACGATAGAAATTTGTGTTTAAAAATAGTTGCCATGGGTTTTAAAGCTATTATAACAATAAATAATAATTATTGGTTGTTGTTTATTGAAAATGATGGCTATTGCCTATTGATCATAGGAGAAATAGTTAGTATATAATATGTCCGTAATGCCTACGACTGTGATGTACGACCGTTATCGGCATCATGGCGGCGTGTGTATAAACAATACATTACATTAGGTACTGTTTAGTTTTTTTTCTCATTTTAAAATGCCCACAAGAACAAGATCTCAACATTCTAGAAATAATTCACAGGATAGGGCAATACAAATACGTCGTCATGGAGAATCTCAATCAGAAACTGAAAAGATCAGATCCAACTCATGGCCAACCAGGCGCGTATCCAGAATTTTATTTCGGGAGGGGCTGAACAAAATGATCAACATAGTCACACAATAAAATAAAAAAGTGGTAAAGTGGATGTCGCTCTGCTGTACAGTAGGTACTGTAATGGATGGTGTAAAATTTGAATTCAATGATATAATATCATTGTATAAGAAAAACGATTCTAAGCGAAAACGGTCAGTCAGCCTATGATATTATTGTGAATAAAGTAATTTATATATTTACCTATTTACGCGCGTGGACCATTGTTTTAAATTTTCAATCCTTAACTATGAAAGTTGAACATTTTATAAATTTTTAGTTACAAAATATTTATTACATTTTAAATTTGATAAATTTTGTCAAAATTCGAACTTTAAATGATTATAAGAAAAAATTGAGCCTATGTATTTTTAATATTTTTCAACTAATATTGTTACAATATATCAGGAGCCTTGAATTAAATTTTCACGCTTTTTTACTCAACAAAAAATTTTTTATTGATATTTATAGAAAAAAACTAAGAAAAATGAAAACTGTGAATGTCCGTAAATAGCTCAAAAAGAGGCAAAATATTTTCAAATTTTTTTGGTGTGTAAAAAATGAAAACATTCAGAAAAATTTTAAGTTTTGTGATTTTTCCGTATTTTGTCAAGATTCGAACTTTAAATGCTTATAAAAAAAACTATGACTAAGGATTTTTAATATTTTTCAACTGCTATTGTAACAATAAAGCAGGAGCTTTGTATTATATTTTCAAGCTTTTTTACCCAACAAATAAAGTTTTATTGATATTCATATTTTTTGGATGTTCTTGAAATTTCAGGGGGGGCTGCAGCCCACCCAGCCACCCCCATAAATACGCCCCTGTGGCCAACTGTATGTGGGCCTATCACGAGTTGGATCTGCTGATAATCAATTTATTTTGCTGCCACAAAATAAAACAACATCAAATTTCGTTTACAGAGAAGCTTTAACCCAATAAATTTAATGATATATGATTCAATATAATTTTATTTTATTTTATTTTCAATATAATATTATTATTAATAAAAAATTTTCTATAATATAATTTTTTTTTCATTCGATACATGTTATTATGTTTTACAACAATAATAAAAATGTAAAGGGTATTTGACTTGCAATTCTTTTCACGGGCAACGCCGTGCGGGTACGGCTATATATATATATATATATCTAGGGCATTAAAAGTTACGTTTTACGACAAATGTATTATTTAATGTATCATTGTTCAGGGTGGCTGAATTGCACTTACTGTTGCGAGTTACATCCAAAAAGATTTAAACAATCACAAATTTTTAAGGGCAACGAAGTGCCGGGGATCAGCTAGTATTATATAACATATAAACAAGTCTAAACTCTGAAGTCATGATACATTTTATTAAAAATGTTATTCAGTTTAAATATAATTTGGTAAACCTAAGTATTTTAGATTCTAAAGAGGAGGAAATCGTGGGTTATTACCTATCGATTATAATATTATCAACATAATATAATATATATATTTCCCTATAGCGATACCGATAGGCGATATTAATCGAATTATTGTTTGAGTTTATCGTTGAAATGCATTTCACTAAGACGACTGTCACATTGTCACGATGCCAACAACAAATGAAATACAATTGGATGAATGTGTCAATAGACTTTATAAGAGACTAAAATCCAAATCTTTTACAATAATAATAAACTTAGCTATTAGAAGTTATAAGTTATTAGATTTATATAACTAGGTATGTAGCATCATTGCATCAAAATTAACAAATTTCGAATTTTTAAATTCGATACGTTATACATTTGTATCTACATGTACCTAGTTTTTAAATACTTATAATTGGTAGACGATTTGACCAATTGACAATTTTTTTTTGATATTTTAATGTAATTTTGACATACCTATTTATACTTTACATATTTTTTCTTTACTTTACTTTTGAAAATATAATATACATTAAAATTTATAAATGTATTATATTATAACCAAGTGATTTTTGGTTGTTACTTGATATATATATACCTAACCTGTGAATTTAATAAAGTGATTTTTAGATTCTGAGTGGAACAATGAATGTATTGATTTTACAATGATGTGTGTGTTTTTTTTTTTGGTCTGTCATCACGGTTTAGGGTAGTAAAACTGCTTCGATTTTCTTCAACAGTATCTTGTTCGATGGGAAAGTGAATTAAGTTAGGTACTTATTTAGATAAGAGTATTAGCGTCTTAGAACAAACATCAATAGAAAACTTTGCTGAAATTGTTGGTGTTCCAGAAACAAATAACGAAAATTGTATTAAAACAGTAGAGGAAATCGCGGCAGCAGTAGGAGAGGAAACAACTATTTTGAAAGCTTATCGTATCCAGTCGAAAATCCAAAATAAACCCAGAAAAATGATTGTTGAATTCCAGACAAACCAGACTAAACGAACTTTGATGGAGAATGTAAGGAAAACAAAATTAACAGGTAAAACTGTTAATGCTAATTGGAATGATGATAAGATTTATATTAATGATGGTCTAACTCAGTTTAATAGAAATCTGTTTTTTAAAGCTAAAGTTTTTTCCAGTGAAAAGGGTTTTTAATTTGTTTTTTTTAAAGGCTTAAAATTAATTATTAAAAAAAGTGAAAGTACAAAAGCCATTATAACTGATAATGAGGACGCTTTATCTAAACTAATTTAATCAAACATCATTACAAAGCAGGTAATTTTTGATTATATTTTATATCATATTTTAAATGGAAGACTGTCTAAATATTGAAGGATATCCAAGCTACAAAACAAATTATTTTGAATCTTTTTCTGAATTTTTTCATCTAAAAAATGTAAATAGTAATAATTATGTAAATATTGTTGTTGTAATATTAGAAGTGTAAACGCCAATTTTGATGAATTGATGTTGTTTTTAGAAAGTGATAAAAATAATGAAAAATTAGATATAATAATTATTCTAACTGAAACTTGGCATAATGCATCAAATTGTAACTTCACTATTGATGGCTAAAAATTATTTTTTTCAACCATAAATAGAAATCAAAATGATGGAATAGTTATTTTTGTTAAAAACACATTAATGTAGACTTTTAT